AGCTAATGAGTCTAGTAGTTTCAGCTGAAGCCAGTCGTGGGCAGAAGCCCTGGGCCGTGAATGGACTCCACCTGCCTTTCATTTATGGTCAGAGCTCTGTATTAAGCTTCAGAATAATCCAGAGACCTGAATTAATGAAACACTCGGGTCGATAAATTTAGTTTGGTGAATGTTCCCAAGTCATTCCGAATACTAAGCTCTTTCTGTGTGTGCCACACAGCCAGGCAACAGGCTTCTAAATCTGGGCCATAAAATGAGCAGAGAAATCATCAGATTTATAAATGTTTACAATAAATGAACTAATTTTAGCATTTTTTCTCTAGAGAGAAATATCAGTCTAGATTGTAGGTGTATTTCATTCTGACCATGGTGAATGCGGCAACAGGAAACTCAGATGGATTCTAAACCCTCAGAAGGCCCTGAGGCACTGGCCTCCCCCTGGCAATTGCTTCTCAAGTTTTAATGCGCCCAAGAATAAGGAGCTGTTTGGCTGCAAAGTGAGTTTTCGCTGAGTTGATTATTGGCTTGTTTTCTTTGGCTGTTTCTCACCATATCCTATTTTTGGTAATTGTGGAACTCAACTAGACCAAACGCAGAATTTTATTTTGAAAACTAAAAAGGCCAGGACAACAGAAACCTAATCAGCAAATCACATTTTTTGAAATCTAAGTCTTTCAGACAAGTAGGTAATCTTCAAAATTCCTTGATTAAGTTGACATTTTATTTCAAAAATCTCCTTTACAGCTTGCCAAGAGAAGCAGGCCTACTGCTTTCTGGGAACTAGGGCTGCAGTCAGGCAGAAAGGGCTTTTTCTGCAGTGAACCTCTGATGTGTCACTGACCAGAAAATTACAAAGGGTGGTGGCAGTAATGACATTATGTTCTACTGATTACAATTCAGATTAAGAGCAAGTCTAGGAGACTCAGAGGTACAGAGAGAGCCTGTAGTAAGAATTCTGGAAATTACATCCTTCACTACACATTTCTGCATTTTTAATAAAGAGACAAACACAATATCCTTTTGAAACATTGCCAAGCACACGGGAGTAACACCAGTACTACCACTTCATACGACTAAAATTTTGCAGGGTTGGGAAGGGGAGATTTCTCCTTTGAATTGCTTCAAGGTATGGTAGAGATGTTTGGACTACTATAGTGTGTGGGTGTGTGCGTGTGCGTGTGTGTGTGTGTGTGTGTGTTTTGAGACAGAGTCTTGCTCTGTTGCCCAGGCTGCAGTGTAGTAGTGTGATCTTGGCTCACTTCAACTTCCACCTCCCAGGTTCAAGAGATTCTCCTGCCTCAGCCTCCCGAGTAACTGGGACTACAGGCATGCACCACCATGCCCAGCTAATTTTGTATTTTTAGTAGAGATAGGTTTTCTCCATGTTGGCCAGCCTGGCCTCAAACTCCTGACCTTGTGATCCACCTGCTTCCACCTCCCAAAGTGCTGGGATTACAGGCGTGAGCCGCAATACCCGGCCAGGATAAGTATAGTTTTTAAAAGCCTCAATCATTACTTCCAAATCTGTTTGTGTTAAGGAATAAAGTCACTTTCAAATTCAAGGGCCATAAGTGCCCCAGAGATACCTCGGGTCCTTTTTCACCTGGGCTAGTCCATGGGACCAGCCTCTGAAAGCCACCATTCATTTCCAGATACTTTGCACTGCCCCTGGGCCTCAGACAGCAGGGCCAGATCCCATTCCAGGGGGCTAGCAGCTGACTTCTCCAGGCAGGGCCTGCTTTTGACCTGCCAGCTCAGAGCACTTTCTCTCTGGGGAAGTGGGGAAGGGGCAAGGAAGAGGGAAGTCTGTGGCTGGAGCAGGCTGCAATGGCAAAGGCGCTATGTTGGTCACACATGGGGAAGGGCTGGGGACTCTAGGCATGACACAGTCCAGGAATGCCAAGAAGTAATGGTACAAAGTCAAACACTGAGCCTTGCAGGAGACTCCTGGGTAATTCAGGAGAGGCATAGGTGAGCAGCAAGGCTGGGAAGAAAAGGAATCCCAAGTACTGAGGCAGGAAGTGACCCATGGGGAGATGGGATGGAGTGAGGACCCACAGAAGCCACACTTCTGAGGCTAGGCCTGTGGCAGGCATCAGGACAGCCAGCACCCCTGCCCTTGGGGCCACCAGGTGGGGAGAAATCCCACAGGATACTTGAGGGCAAGCCAGCCAGGATGGTCCTTTCCCCACCAGTACACAATTATTTCTGGTGAGTTCACTGATCTGTTCAATGTCATGTCACCAGCAATTTAACATGTACAGCAGTCCCTTCCCAAATGTGTGGATGCTCAGGTTCTTTTTGAATGAGCCCCTTCTTTATAAACATAGGCATGGTCTGTGGGACTCCACAGATGACAGCATCCTGATCTGTAAACTATGCCGGCACACAGACCATACCTGTACTTATGGGTGCCAGCCCTGGGGCCTTTTAGCTAAAATTCCAAATGGTCAGGTTGGGATGGAATTCGTGCCCACAGAAAAGTGCAGTCCTACGGCATCGAGGCAAAGGACCCAAGGTGCAGTGAAAATATTGCTGGCCTAGAACACAGGAGCTTTCTGCTTCAGTCTCAGTTCTGCCACTCACTGAGTGATCTTGCAATTATCTTGCGATTAATTTCACCTCTCTGAGCCTCAGTCTTTTTATTGGTTGAATGAGGAGAAGCATATGGCCCTCAGAGGATTGCCAGGAAGATGAAATGAGCAGACATCTGCAGACATCTGGAAAGGCCTTTGGCCCCATGTAGTCTGCTTTTGGCCATTTCGTATGTGTGTGTGTGTGTGTGTGTGTGTGTGTGTGTGTGTGTGTAACTCATCTCCCCCTATCAGAAGGCAAGAAGCTTTTAAAAATAATTCCAAAGGCATCAGCTTTGATTTTAGAGCCTCTTTCTTTCCCTTTCTTCCCATCGTCATATTGCAGACAGTATGCTTACTGAAGAGTGCAGACATCAGCCTTCTTCCATTCCTTTTTAGGAATCCAAGAACATGCTAATGTTTCCTAGATTGTGAGCTGCTGCCACTAGAAAAGGGTGATTCTCAATTGTTTCCTCACTGGGATATGAACGTGACTTTGTCCTGCATATGAACATTAAAGAAAAGGCCTGGGGATTGTGGAACCAATTTGGGGAATAAGATTGGCTCCACAATCCCAAGGAGAGGGGCTTGAGGTTTCTAGGCCATCTGCCTGAGGACAGAAAGGTTTTCCCCAGCCTCCCATTGCCCAGCATAAACAACAAGGATCTGGGCTCTTAGAAACCATAGTCAAGCCTCCACAGGGAGATGCGTGACCCAAAGAGGGTGGACTCTGCCATAAGTGAGCTCCAGCTTGCAGCCCATACCTGGCCCCACCTGGGCCTACAGGATGATGGGGCCTCACCCAGGAGGAGGGAGAATGGGAAGTGGAGGGAGTCAGGTATCCACTCATGCAATATGGATGGGGTAATGGAATACTGCACGTTACCCCCTGCTGATCCTGCTCCTGGTGCCTCCTGGTGCCAGGGACCACAGGCTCGGCTGCAGGGACATCACTGAAGGGCAGTGAGGACCCTTGTCCCTTTTCTTCAGCCCCCCTCCCCCGACTGCAAGGCCCTTCACCTGGGGGCACAAGGCCACAGCAAGCCAGAGGAAGAGGTAGGAACTATGGAGCCTGCCATAAGTTCCTGGGTTTGGGGGAAATGGGGATTCAGCAGTGAGAGGAGACAGGTAGAAGGGTCAAAAGCCAGGACAGAAGATAGATGGAAAAGGGCCCATCTCCCCCTTTTCCATGGGACCAAGGAGCATCCCAGAACACGGAGGGGTTGGAGAAAGACCAGTCAGGTTTTGAGCACCGGGCCGTCTGAAAACTGAACAGCTCATTTCAACCACATCTCCCATCTCCTCCTCGGTCTCTGCCTCTGAGTGCCCTCTGGTCTCTGCCCCGCTGTTCTCATGCTCTGTCTCCGGTCCTCCCGCTTTCTCTCAAACCAGCTGAGACAGGGTACAGGGTCAGGGAGGATGAGCGTGGAGGGCTTGGAGCTCTGAGGAGACTAGACTGAGGGGCTGGGATGAGGCTGAAAAGTCCAAGACCCAGAGGAGCTGCAGTTAAAACGGCTCTTTCCGACTCAAGGCCACCTTCCCTGCTTGCTGGGGACCCCATCCCTCTCCTCCGTGTGTGAAAGGATAGCAAAGGGGGAAATGAAGGGGTCCCTCTCTGCCCTGATTCCCCCTCGTGGCTCCCAATTTGGGAAGGCAGGCCCTGATCTATCTCGGGACTAGTAGGTGACGGCCGGGTCCATCTCCCTTCTTTCATGTGTTCTCTCGTGTTTGGCTTCTCTGTGTTTTCCTCCATGCGTCCCTCTCCCTGCATCTTATTCCGGCGGTCCCCCCGTCACAGAGCCGGGAGGAGCGTGTTCTCCGCCATGAAGCTCGGCAAAAACCGGTCCCACAAGGAGGAGCCCCAAAGACCAGGTAGGACAGGTGCCGCGCCCGCCCCGCAGCCCCGCGCCTCGCGGCACCCTCCCGCCGCCTGCCAGCCCCTGCCGGGCTGCCAAAATGCCCTCCTGGGAGTGGTCGTCCCGAGCCACCTGGGCGGGGCCTGGCCTCGCATTGGCTGGCCCAATGGCCAGGCCCCGCCCAGAGGGGCGTGGTCTTCTAGGAAGGGGACGCCCTGGGGCCGAGGGAGGGAAGTGGGCAGCGCCATCTGCCGGATGGGCCTGATTACAAGGCTCCTCCCGCCCTCATTGCTCCCGGTCCATTCTTCACACAGAAGCCCAGAGAGTTCTAATTAGAGCAGAGAATATCAATCAAGAAACGTTGTTTGGCCAACTCCATGTTTCTGGGGGAAACCGGCGTCCCACGAGTGCGGGGTGGGCAGCAGGCCTCTGACCTGGCTTTCGCCCGCGCTGCAGCCTGACCTAAGGGGAGGCCCTGGGGCTGCTGGAGGGTGCGGCAGCGCTGGGCCTGGGAGGCTGGAGGCAGGTGGCACTGGGCCCTCAATGGGCAGCAGGTGGGGAGGGGAAGACAGCTGCTGCAGAGGAGGCAGGGAGGCCTCATGGAAGACAAGGGGAGAAATGGAGCGGACAGGGGAGCTGAGAGGGGGCCATCTTCTCCATCATGGACCCACCACTGGGGTTACCGGCTGCCCTCCCCCAGCATTCCCTCTGTGGCCCACTGGCCCTCAGGCTCTCTCCCCCACCCTCTTGTCCCCATGCCAATTCCAGCCGTGCCCTTCACCTTCTTAAATGGAGAGAGTACAGCTGCTGGCGGATGCCCAAACCCAGCATCCTTGGGTGGCTTTTCGGAATCTGCATGTCTGCATCTCATTAGACAAATACACAGGGTCCGTTAGGTTCTGAATTCCATCAGCTATTTGATATGGATAAGTTACCTCCTAAGCCTTCGTTTCTCTACCTGTGTCATGAGAATAATGCCCATCTTGACAGGGCATGGCTCTAAGGACTAGAGATACTCACGTAAAGTCCTGGCATTGTGCCTGGAACAGAGTATCCACCCAATAAATGGTAGCTATTTATTGAGAAGTGCAAAAGTCCGGATTCTTTATTCCCTACCTTCTTCCACAAGGGCTATTCAGTGCCTAACTACATAGTATACAATAAAAGAGCAATCAATTAAAATAAAAAGGCAAGAGCAGACATAATATCCATTAAAATCAAAGATTGGGATTAGGTAGAAAACACTGCAGATATTTGGGCCATAACATTCTAAGCAGTAGTAACTAAGTAAACCTCGAATTTCACTCTCAGCTTTCTGTATGCCAGAGTGAAAGGAGAAACAGTCACTATCCCACCATCACTCAGCCCACCTAGCCAGTCTTTCGTCTTCCCCAGATGAACCAGCGGTGCTGGAGATGGAAGACCTTGACCATCTGGCCATTCGGCTAGCGGACGGACTGGATCCCGACTCGGTGTCTCTCGCCTCAGTCACAGCTCTGACCACGAATGTCTCCAACAAGCGGTGAGTGGATGGGAGTCCCGCAACTCCCAGTGCCCCCACCCTGTCAGGCAGGACCTGGCTTACCATCCTTGGAATTTGGGTAGGGAAGAATCAGGGCCCATGGATGGCTTCTTCCTAACCTTGCCCTTTCCTGCTTTTCCTTGGGTGTCTCTCTCACCTGTCTCCCTGCAAAAGCAGAGCACAGGCCAGGTATGGTGACTCACGCCTGTAATCCCAGCGCTTCGGGAGGTCGAGGCGGGCAGATCACGAGGTCAGGAGTTTGAGACCAGCCTGGCTAACATTGTAAAACCCTGTCTCTACTAAAAAAAATACAAAAAGTAGCCAGGCATGGTGGAGGCTGCCTGTAATCCCAGCTACTCAAGAAGCTGAGGCAGGAGAATTGTTTGACCCTGGGAGGCGGAGGTTGCAGTGAGCCGACACTGTGCCATTGCACTCCAGCCTGGGCGACAGAGCAAGACTCCTCAAAAAAAAAAAAAAAAAAAAAAAAAA